GAGATAACACCAGGTATCAGGCACAACAAACACTCAGCACCACTCCCCACACACCTGGGGTGCCTGCACAAGGGGTGCCCACCCTGAGACATCCTGAAGAGGCTCCTCCTGACCCAGTCAGGAATCCTAGTTGAGGCTGTCACTCTGCAGGAGCCCACAAACAAGAAAGGGAGCAGAAACCACCTCTCTGTCTTCAGACTGGGCAAATTACAGAAGTCACCTCCCCACTCCTCTTCAATACCTCCTCAGTGGTATTTTAGCATCTTAAATTCACTGACATGGCTTCTCTTACTGGAAAATTCCCATCTTACAGGTGTTAAAAATCACAACGCAAGACTCCCAAAACATAATGTCATATCCTAGCTCCTAAATAGTTTGGCATCCTGGTGGACATGCAACTAATATCATTATCTGACCCTCCAAAACATCCATGTTTGCTCTCCTGCAGATATTATCTCAGAGACATTTACTCATCTAAAGCAGGATTCTTAATTAGCCCTATGCAGGGCTAATCTTCCATTACCCATAAGGAAATTGAGCCAGGAATTAAATTACTCCTCAGATACCTTGTCCCACATCTTTCAGCTCTCCCCTAATACAAGACATCATTTCACAAGGCCCTGGTTCCAAAAAAAAACCACATTCTGTGACATGCTTTTTGTCAGAAAAATAAAGAATCCACACATCATGGTTTATCTCTATGGGAAAGATGTCTGAAATTAATGACAGGAGGACAGCTTCCTCAGTGGACATTTCTTCAGACCCCACCAGTTTAACAGTGACTATTCCTCCTAAGTAGAAAAACTATTCATGACACTCTGGCAACACAAGTATTTTGTTACAGGGTAAAACGCTTCATGTTTGCCTAAGGGAAACACTTCCCTTCCAACTGCTTCACTTCCCCTCCATCACAAGTAACTGATGAAAGTTTGGGATGAGGAGGAGGAGAAATTAGGATAAAGTAATGGAGAAAGAGAGGGGCTGAGACATGTATTTCTGGCAGAGAAGCGAGGAACTGCTCATGGCAAGACAGAATATGTAAACAGAAGAAAACAAACACAAACATAAATCAAGGTTAATGCAGAGCTCTTCTGTCCCCATGCTGTGCTGGTTATGTTCTGAGCTGTGAGAGAATTATGCCACCTGACATTCAACTCAGGAACCAAAAAGTTTAGGATTTGTATCTCACAGGCAGAAATTCAGTCCTAGACAAACTCTGTTTTATGGCTGACATAAGACAGAAATGAGGAGGCACACGAAATGGAACTTCTTTGCAGTGGGTGTACCTCCTCAGACTAGAAGTACACTCCCACCACACTTGTACAGAGCAAGACCACCTCTCTCCCCCAGCTGCATCAAACACTTTCAATGTATCCAGCTTGGGAAGGGTGAGAGCAAAGTCATTCTCACCTAAGCCTATGGCCACAAACCCTTTGATTTAGCACTGTGGCACTGCTACAAGCACTTCATATTAATGAGCAGCCACTGAACAGCACAACTGTAGGACAAAGAGGGACTCTCAAGATAAGCTTTTAGTGATGTAAACTTCGAGCAAAATTTGCCACAGAGGTAAGAAGGATCACAGAAAACAGTTTCAACCACCCTCTCTCAGAATGTGCTCCAAAACTCACTTTTATCAAGTCAGCGTGACAAACTTCTTTCTTTAAGACAATCAAAGTGTATGGTGTGCTCTCAAATCTCAGTTTACAAATTCTTCTGCTCTAAATGAGATATACTAGACTCAAGAATTCATGAGTCTAGGAGTCAAGGAAACTTGTTAGAGATTATTTTTCCTATAAACAAGACAGCTCTTCTTCAAAAGACTTAGGAACTCCACAATATTATTTTAAGGGCACATTTGAAGCGTATTTCAAAGAATACATTCCATAAGGCTTTTAAACCTGACTGTGTCTTCTATCAGTAATTTGTAATCCTTAGCAGCTTTGGGGAGTTTTCTGTTTTATTTTAAGAAGCCTTTCTGTTCACCTTTAAGCACAGTTCATATGCCCACACCAACACATAAGAATGTACCTTCAACCTTTTTATATTTATGTTTCTACAATACATCAGCAAAGATTAAAGTGTGGTTAAGCCTCCTCTTTTATCTTGGCATAATTCATTTTTGCACCATATCAACCTTCTCCAAGGCTGTATATTTGCATATTAATAATAATAAAGCCTGCTTTTTAACTCCTCCCTTTAGCTTAATATATTAAAAAGTGTTGATAGATAAGACTTGGCTCTCAAATTAGTGGTGGTGGCAAAGCAGAGTTCAAATTATTCCATTAAAACAGAGACAGCTATGTTTATTGTCCTCCCACGTTTGATTTAAGCTGGAATTTCACTCAGAGAAACAGTCGTGCTCTGATTATGATAGAGAAGGTGCAGATTTGATCATTTCCCCAAAGTGGCTAAAAAACATTTGGGAACAACAGTTTGAATATCTTTACTGTTTCCCAGTTATTTGCATTCCTATACATTCTTTCTGAAGTGCAAAGGAACTGAGGATGCATCACCATGCTTTCTTTAAGCCAATTTTTGTGTGGGTTGCAGTCAATGCAGCAGCCTGCCCCTCTCCATGCCATCACATCTCCCCATTGCCTGCATTGTGCTGGAATTACTGGGGTTGCAGCTGCATGGTTAGCAGGGCCAAGGAACCAATCTACCTACCAATTAATCCTCCCCCCTTTTATTTCCTGCCAGGTCGTTTCCTACCGCACAACTCCTGACCACCAGTATCAGCAGAATGAAGCCTGGTGGAGCACACTGAGGGGTAGAAGACTACTCCTGACAGTGGCTGGCACTTCACCATCTCAGAGAAGTGGCCACAACGTAAGAATCTGCTCTTGCAGCTTGGACTACAAAGCTGGCATAATCAAGCTAGCTTCAGGCTAATGCATTTGAGTATTAGGGCAGAGAGCTCAGGCTTGACCGACTGCCCAGCATGTACCCATGTCCTTGGCCAGTTTTATCCACAGGTAGAGAAAAAACATTGATCCACAGCTGCAACTCTTTCCAACTCTGCAAACACCAGTGCTTCTCTCTACAGCACTTCAGCTGGCTCTCACCAACAGCCAATGCAGCCTTTACTCATCACTGAACTTTGATCACTGAACCAGATCAAGTCTGCAGGATGTAGAAATAGCAACAAACAGAAGCTGCTGTATTCCCCCCTGCACTGCTCTAATCTCCCCTGTGCTGCCTTACTTCTACTTTCTCATTACTTCATGTTTTTAATGCCTCATAAAGCTCCAGTTCCTGGAATCAATATAAGAGTATCTGCCTCATTTAAAGAAAAGACCAAAGTATTATCTGACCACTTTGCAGAGAAATTCAAAGGTAAAGAAACTTAGCTAACTAATTAAGACAATACTATCCCCAAAAAAGAAACAAAGAAACAAAAAAGGGAAATCCATCACTACCCTCATGCCATTCTCATGTTTCTGTTTTTAAAATATTAGGATTTAAAATTATTTATTATTTTAACACTTAAAGATGTTTGTTTTGAAACTCCTTCAAGAGACTGACCAAACACAAACAAAACGTGAAGCCAGCACTGCTGACAATATCATGCCCTAAAGATGAATATTGCTAGAGAGTACACCATTTATCATGACTGAATGTCCCCTTTTTCCTCACAGTATTTCTTGAATGTACATTGCAAAGTTATACAATACACGTTATAAGGTCAATTACAAACAGCTACAGAAATACCAGCTCTGAAATTGTGAGACTTCTGATGGAGGACCTGCACTGACCTCAGTCTAAAAGACCCTTCACTGTGGACTGGAATTCAGAGGGGAAGCAAAAGAAGCACATACTCATGTTTGAGGAGAAATTCTGGTAGAACAGCTTTCTACTAGCAAAGTGGGCTTTTTCTGCCCACAGCACAACAGCACCACATGTAACCTCAGTTCAGACACAAGCTAACTTTTGTACCTACACCCCATCTGCTAAGTGAAGGACCTTGGAAAAAAAATCACATCAGTAGAGATTTTATCTCCTCCAGACAAACCGAATGCTGCTACCCAGAGACTCCAAATTTCAAGAGTCATTTGAAACAAACCAACCAACCAACCAACAACCAAACAAAAAAACCAAACACAGGACAAAAGTGACTAACAAACACTGGGTCTCCTTAATATAGCAAGGACAGTTTTTCCTCTCTAGATCCTGGAAAACTTCATTTCAGCAAGAGTAATTGTATTACCTAACCCTTATCTGGCACTTTTTTATCTGTTCCTCTCAAAAGGGGTCAACAGCACCATCTGCATATGATAGCACTATTTGCATGAACTCCATCAATAGTACCCAAGTCACCTCAAACACAGTGTCCAATACCAGGCCAGTAGGTGCTGTCACCAACACCACAACCAGAAGAAAACATCTGTGAGCCTGTGCTCTATGCTAAGCCAGAAAAACAACTTCTATCTTATCTGCTGACTCGAGAATTCAAAGATTGTGGTATAATATCAACAATGAAAGTCTGGATGTTTTGTTTATTTTAACTACAGGGATTGTCAACAGCTCTATTACCCCACAGGAGTTCACTCAGCCTGACCCTGTTCTTCCTCAGGCTACACCCCCATTGAAGCCTGTGGAAGCTTTGCCTTCTCAACTGGGCCCTACACTAACTTTAATTAAAGTTCTGTTGTCTCTGGCTATATGGATGTTCAAGATGGGCATCTGCCCTTATGAAAGAAAATTGAGATAACTGGACAGAATCCTTCATTCCCATAAGGTCCACAGAATATTTTTGCTCTAAAGAATACTGACAATAGTGGTATGTTTGTTACTACCTCCCATTTCTGACTGAGACAGTTATATACTGTGGATGTGCACTCCCCTTTCATTCCTGTCCATCTCCTAACAAAATAAAAATAAAAAAAATTAACCCCATCTTTTGCTTCAAAACACTTCAGACAATCAAGAGCTTATCTAGACATCTCAGTGATTTTACAGTGTTACACATATCCTAGTATCACAAGAATATGTTTTACCTTGAGGCAAATGTTTTAATTTATGTGCATTTGAGCTATTTGCAATACCTCCACCAAATGGAGCCCATATAACCCGTCGGATGGCTTTCACCCAATCTTCCATTTCATTCTGGGAATTAGCCATGAGCAGGAAAGCCTCATGATTGACAGGCATCTTTTCCCGGTCCCCTGCACCACCTGAAAGACAGAATACAAATCTCTTTTAGTATCCTCTTCAGAAGAGAGCAACCAAAGTTTAACACCACCAAAAACCTTGGTCAAAGTAACACAATTATTATTTGAATTGAGCAGTTTTTCAGACAATTCCTGCTGATGTGCTGCAGCACCCACAGAGCACAGGTTGATAGAAGGTCAAAGCAGAAATGCAAAATATGCATTTCCAGTGTAAGGAAACTTGGAGATGTTGTATCTGCTGTCTCAGCAATAAGAAAAGCAAAGGTACAGGTGGCAAGACTCTATAGGAAAATAAATTAATTCCACATACCTGTGCTGAGGTATTGAGAGATTTTTACCCAAAAGAGGGACCAAGTGACATGTAAGACACTTGAAAATGCTTCAGAGGTAGAAGTCACAAGATCATCCACTTTCCCCAAGCCTCTGGGATATTTATAGTCTCAATACAAAGAGACCCATTCTGATTTTGGATCCAATTCAGAAGAAAGTTAAGAGATGGGGGCATGATTCTGACACTTCCACTTGATGTAAAAACTTTAGGAGCTATTACTACACATTGGTGTGTAATATCTCAGAAAGGCACTGACAAGAATATCAAGCTGTCACAAAAAAAAAAATGTGGATACTCCAATACGTGAAACATTTTGACCCTGCTTTTCTTGTTTCATTTTTAGGTCAGCACTCTAACAATTTAAATCTTTCCCTCATCCTTCATTTTATGTTCCAGAGCTGGATACAACCGAGTGAGTGCCACATAAACACATAAAAGCTTTATTAGAACAGCCTCTGTATGAAAAGGCTACTGATCCTGTCCAATTCAGCAGCTGCATCCCCAAAGGCCTGGAGCTTCTCCATCACCATGGAAACTGCCTGTGGCCTTGCTACAGAGATAGCATCTGAGCTGTGTGTCACTGTCATTTCCACGCTTACATGGCTTTCAGCACCTACTGGCAAGCTAAAGCTGCCAGCCTGTGCTGAGCAGCTGAGATTATCTGCCCATGGAATTCAGAGATAAGAGCAGGATGATGGTATGCTGTGGTTTCTGCAGAGCTGATTTAGCATACACAGAACATGTGCTTCTTAAATCCTTGCTAATCTGGGGAGAGAAGCAAGCTGGGAGCTGCCTGCAAGCCAAGGAAGTACTTTTTCTTGCTATTAATTGTTTTCTTGCCTTGACACACTCATGGAACATTTATTGATTTGCAAAGCAGACGTGGAAAAATGAGATGCATTGGGAAATATTTTATGGTTCTCCGAGAAGCAATTCACTAAACTGGGAAACTGAGGCAATCTTTCAGTAAAGAGGAGAAACAACAGCCACCAGAGACTAGTCATGCAGCTTAAGAAACAAAAGCCATGATTGCCCCTACATGTGCCCAGATCCTCTTGGACAGTCTCCCACTTTTTAATTTGCTGAATTATTCATATTCCTTAAGGTATATAAAGAGAACAGCTCTCTAGCTCAAGGCTAGGATGCAGGCATCTGAACAGATCAATGTCCCACCATATTCCACTGCAAGGATGACATACTTCATCCTTTGTATACAAAACTGTCTGCCCAGGAAACTGCAGTCTGAAATTACTGTCATTGTCTAAATCTCTTACCAACATACTCATGCTGGAAAAGCAGAGGTCATGAAGTATAATTCTTACACCTTACTCAGCAGACCTACTGACACACCCTTTTTCAAAACCAAATGTTTCATAGGATATACGATTGAAAAAGGCTTTCCACGGCCCTCAATACACATCAGAAACGGCTTTCAGGATGTGGCATTTGGCAGATAGCCTGAGCTCAAGCTAGGCCATCATTCTTCAAAGGAATGAAACTGCCTCTGAAAGACATTTACTGTATGGGTCCCACCACCAGCAAACCACTGAGTTTGGTCAAGGTAAAAATACAGTTTGTTCTTGAGTTTAAAGGGGTCAGCTGAGCTCTTGCCCACCCAAACCATCAAGGGCAAGAAGAGACCAGAAGCTTATCTTAGAATTAATCACAAACTTTAAATTTAGTGGAATTAGCTGCACTAACCCATAGCAAGATTGCCATAAGAAGCACAATGAGCAGAGGATGGAGATGACTTACTGGACTTCTGCAAAACTGGCATCAGCATCTTCTCAAGGAATCACTATATCAGAGGCACCTGATAAGTGTCCCTTAAGACAAGTCCCCTTCCCCTAAGATGTTGCTTTGGACCAGCCAGCTGCTTTCTAAACCTTCATAGACAGCTTTCATGAAAGCATTTAAAGTGAAAGAAACATTTATACTTCTACTTGAATCTGCAAAAAGCAAAAACTGGGTAGGAAAAAAAGATTTCTGTACACACCAGACCTGAGATTCTACCCAAGACTACACATAGTTCCTCCATGCTTGCCTTTCCCCACTGAAACTTGAAATAGGAGCAAGGTCATGACCCTACAATCTGCCTGTGGGAGAGTCAGTAGTAACTGGACATGTAAGTACAAGCAAATGAAGGCAGCTCCACACACAAATACCAGCTTAGAAATAAGAATGAACTTCAGAATTGCTTCTTATGTTAGCACAATGTGACTATGCAGCATCAGAACACGGAGACCCACCTGTAAACATTTTTAGTTTTTAATAACCTTTTACTCATATTTCTTTATACACTTGGCTGATTCCTTCCACTACATCCTTGAGGCATCAAGCAGAAAAATTAGGGCTTACTAAAAGGCAGAGTTCAGATACATCTCTCTACATTCAATACCTTTTCAGTTTTGGTAGTCACAAGAATGAGAAAGAGCCAAATTCAAACATCTAGATCTTCTTAAAAAAACAAGCAAACAGAAAAACCCAACAACCTCCACAACAAACAAACAAACAGCCCAAGGAAACAATGTCACAAGAAACTTCTTACAAGTCTAGAATATTACCTGTAACTCACAGATGATTTCTTTTATGGGCTCAGACACAAAGCAGGATCCTATAATGGATTTCAGGTTTGAATTGGAAAAGCAACACTGTATCAACTCAAATGCACTAGACTTTAGGAACTGTTTTAGGAAAATGATTTCAAAGCTTCCTGCCCAGAAACACTTAGGGACAGAATTTTAGTTTTGTCTCTCAAAACAGGATGAAGTTCATATTCAGCTGCTGGATTCACACCTCTTCTCTGCCATTGCAGAAGCTCCAGCCCTTATTGTGGTTGATGCTAAGCTCTAATCCTGAAGCACACAAGCTCTGCTTCTACGGTGTGAATCAAACAGGGTGTCTGGCTACTCAGCACCATGATGCAGAAGAGCACTCTGCTGATGATTTTAAACACAGACAAGGCTTTTTCATACCCTTGAACAGAATGTCTCACTCATCTTTCCATATAAGCAAGACTGGGCCACAGAGACAAACCCTGTGTAGCTCAGGATTGCCCATGGGCAGACACTCCAGTCCTTCTGCTCAAAGCTACTTTCATCTCCAGACCAGAGATGAAATAACTGCAAACACAAACAGAGTTCAAGTATCTCAAAAGATGTGTCAGGGACAGGGGGCTTAACTCTGGGGATGAATAGTCCATCTGCTTTAGCATTAGCCTGTGACCAGGGGATCCTGTGTTCTGTCACCTGCTGCAGGCTTCTTGTTGCTGTATGCTGGGCAAGATGCACTGGATTTCATCCTTATCTATGAAGCAAGCTGGCAGCTCTACTTGCCTCTCATCCAGGTATACAGAAACCAAACAACTTGAAGAGTGGGAAAGGCGATGGCAACCATGTCAGCATATACAGTAAATGTAAGAGCCTAGGAGGATTAAAAAACTTGCTTGGCTGTTGCTCTCCCTCAAAACAGCTGCAGGTCCCAGCTGACTTGAAATCTTTGCTGCCCCTGCCCCAAGGTGCCTTTGTCAAAGTGCTTTACATACCCTGTAGGTATCTTTGCCTGGAGGGAACAGTTTAGCTCCAGTGTACAAATGCTTTCTTCTCCAGGACCAGACTAACTCAAGCTGGCAGAACTGCTCTCCTCTGCCTACACTCACAGTTTCTTCATTTCATATAGCCTGGGAGCCATGACCTGCTAATGGCAGCAGTCACAGAGTAATGCCCACCTCCCAATCCTTAGAACTGATTCTCCTTTCAGCTTTTCCCCCGTGCCCCACACAAGAGAACGTTAAATGCAGAAGCACTGGGACTAAATCTTGCTAAAGGTGAGATGGGGTGCAGCAGGAGTCACAACCTACTCTTCAAGGCCCTGCTTACTGAATTTTTGGGGTTTTTTACCAGCTTTAGACAGGTAAAGATTCACTGGAATGTGTGAAACATAAGGTATCATTTTGTTACATTTACTAGTCCTGCCCTGCGCTCCTGTTCAAAGAACCTGCCGCAGACAGGCTGCATTCTCTGCCTTTATACAGCTCTTTCCTATGAGGAAAAGCTTGAATTTTTTGTTTGCCTTGAACCTCATTCAAGCTTAACCTTCTTAAGATCACTTGTGAAGCCAAGCTTTAGATCCCCTTTGCCTGTATGGAAGAGAAATTCAGGGGGAACAGGACTGGACTTCTGCATGGGAGATGAGACTACCTCACTGCATGTGAAAGAAGGAACTTCTATATATTCAAGCAACGCAGCTGTTGCGTTCTGAAGTTGACAGTTTCTCTTTGTTTAGGTAACTTCTTTTACTCCCACCTCCCTCTTCTGGCTTGCCTTTCACCCATTTCTTACATCATTCCCCTTACTGATGTGCTTGTGTCCTGCCCTTATATGAGCCTCCTGAGAAGCTACACCACTACAGCAACTTGTGTATGTGTACACATTGACATGTTTGTTGACATTTTTGCACTGCTTTGGTGTGGACAGCAGCTGCAGCATTTTCAGTGAGAGTGAAATCCAGCTGGCCGTGCGCAGGTGCTGCTGCTGCGGGAGGTGACCTGCAGCTCAGGGCTGGACTGGGGAAGGGTGGCTGGTGAGAATCACAGCGCCCAGCTGACGTGTCTGCCTTCAGTGCTACAGCAAGTAGTGACAGGAAGCCTTTGATTGCAGACAAGCAGCAACAA